ACTGGACCCCTGACCGATTCGGTCACTGGGTCGGTTTTAAAAACCCTATTAGAAACACTGGCGAAATAGAACAACGACAATTGGGAATGCATGATGAAAATTAGAAAAAAAAAAATAGAAAGAAAATAAAAAGGGTAAAAGGGGTCGAGCCAAAAAGGGATGATATTTCTTCCCTCCCTTCTAACCTGAATCCACGGTCGGCAGCTGTATACGGGAAGAATTTGTTTGATGTTGATTTTTTTTTTGGTGGGACCACGATGGCAATCAGAACTCAGAAGTGTAATACATGCTCAACGTTATAATTCATCTTTAATTTGTGTTTACACTGATCGCACAGCGCATGTATGTCTATAGTCCATACCTTTGTCTTTAATTATGAAACCCGTGTAAGCTATCTGAGAATGGATATATTATAAAATAATAATAGCAGCCCATAACGTCAGACACAATTCCATTTCCACCTCCCACTTTTGCTCTTTAGTTTGTTTCCACAAGTTTTAACTTGCACGTTTTTCCATCCATCATGTTACATGATTGACAAATGACAAGGAAGAAATACTGAGAAATTTTTAAACATAGAGATAGAGCACGTCATTAAATACTCTTCCAAGGTTTCACTTCTCTCATTCCAATACGCCCACGCCACGGAGGCATGCAAAACTGGGAAAAGAGTTAATTTTTATTTTTTATTATTATTAAGAGAAAATTTTCGATTAGTATCCTATATTTTGAGCCAAGTATCATTTTCGTCCCGGATTTTAAAATGTGATAATTTAATATCTAAATTTTCAAAACATGCTAATTTAGCAATTATCATTAATCAATTGATAAGTGACATTTGAAATGGTGCAAATACTTTTTGACTGTCATCTAATTTTCTTTATCAACCACTCAAACATTGACAAGAAATGAATAATCCCAAATCCTTAACTTTTCTATTCAATAAAATTGGGGTTACATCTCAGTGGGTATTTGGTGACCTCAACTTTTTTGAATAGAAGAGAAAAGGATTTGGGATTGTTCACTTTTTGTCAACTTTTCGATAGTTGACACTCAATTACTGGATTGGCATGTTTTGAAAATTTGGCACTGAATTAGCACGTTTTGAAAATTTGGATTGGCATGTTTTCAAATACCACTTAACAGTTGGTTAACAACAAGTACTAGATTGGCACGTTTTGAAAATTTGGCACTGAATTGTTGCTTTTAAAGTTAGGGCACAAAAGTGGCACTAAACACAAAATATAGGGTACTAATTGGGAATTTTCCCTATTATTAAATGTATGAATGAATGGAATATCTTTATTTTTTTTATTAAATCATCTCTCTTTTTAAATTTGCTAATTAGATTAGCCTACCTTTTCCCTTGCTTTCCCTACCTTTTCTTTTAAATTAAACATAGTCTTAGGCTACACTTGAGATTCCTTATTTTAAGGACTTACCTCTTTTTGCAGTGAAAATATGCCTATGAACACTGAATTTTTAATCACAAAAAGGATATAAACCCTTAAAATAAGGAATAACAAATGCAGCTTTAACGTATTTGAAAGTTGAGATATATTGAAAATGTTCAACCAAACAAAGAAAAAGTGAGAAATAAACAGCTATATGATCCTAAAATAAAAAGTGACGATAGCTCCTAATTAGAATTATGATTTTTTTGCTTAGAATTGCAAAATAAATGATGGAAAAAATAGTATTTTACTTTTTCATTAAAAATGCACTTTTGGAAAAGAACAATTCTCTGTGTACTTAAGATATTAACTCTTATTTTCAGTTCACCATTAAAATTAACACTATTCCCCATGATTTTAATAGAATAAAACCAATTTGTTTTAAAATAAACCACAAATAAGTGATGAATTTGTGGTTTAATTGTTTGGATCAAATGGATCAATTCATGATATTATAATTAAATGACAAAAATTAAAAAAAAAAGATAATACAGAGATTTTGTAAAAACGTTAGACACCTCTTTATCATTTAAACAAAAATAAATTGATAAATAAAAATTACTTTTTAATAAAAAATAAAGAAAATTAATTTATAACCCATGACCTAATTGATTTGGTCTAACAACTCAATACTTCAATTTGGCTCAACCATTGGATCATTAACCAAGTTTATTTTTCAACTCTAGTTCTAAACCCGAGAACTGTGGTTCCAAAACCAATAAAATGGCCTTTTTCAACTCACCCTTCTATAACTTTTTCTTTTTTTTTTCTGTTTTTTTTTTTTTTTTTTTAACTAGGAAACATGGTTTGCTGATGCACGTATGACATGGTGGTTACATGATGTGTCACACACAACAATATGTTTCTGGTCATAATGCCTCTCTTTGATGACTGACAGTATGAACAGAACTAGATAATGCAAAGTACATGTAAACATGAATCAAAAAGTCAGTGCTCACATGTCATGGTTCTGAAAATGAACCATCAACAGAACAACTTCTTTTGCAGAACAACTTTTTTGCATTGTTTAGTTCAAAAAAAAATGTCATTTCCAAAACCCTCTTTTAAAACTATAAATCGAACAACATCAATAACTTTTGCAGAAAAGTGGCTTAGGGTGAAACAGATTCAAAAACCTGACTAGGTGATAGGTTAATTGGTCCAACTATTTGATTCAATTGTGAGTTGAAAACACTAATGCAAGGATTTTTAAAACTGAATCGGACAACGAACTGGTCAAGGGTCTAGTTCTCGGGTCAAACAATCTGATTGTACGAATCGAACGGACAACTTGTTATAACAAAAAAATAAAAACCGATCAAACCATTAAACAGTTTGAATGGTTCAACCACCCAGGTCAATGGTTTGCTGATCAAATCAATGGTTTTTTGGAAAAATAATGGTTCTAGGGAAAATGAAACCGATCACCTGACTGATTTCCGGTTTTTCTGGTCTGACCATCTGGTCCGGGCCAGTTTTGAAAACCATGCACCAATGTACAAGTAGAAATATTTGAAGCAGGGTCATTACTTTGAAGGGAATAAATCCATCTCTCCACTATGCTTCAATGAGTTTGTCTTTGCTACATGGGTTCTAGCCATGGTTTTTAAAAATGAACCGGTGACGAATCGGTCAGGGGTCAGGTTACCGGTTCGAACGGTCCGATCGTTCGATCCGAACGACTGGCCCATTCTGACAAAAAAATAAAAAATTTAAAAAAATTAAAAAATTAAAAAATAGTCAAAACCGTTCGAACTGTTAACTGGCCGGTTCAACAATTTACTGACTAAAATCAACGATTTTGGGAGAAAAAACGATTTTGAAGGAAAATAGACCGGTTCCCGATTTTTCCGATCCGACCGTCCGATTTTGAAAATAGTGGTTCTAGCCAAGCATACAAATGCCTATAAAAGGCTAATGCAACATCTACTTGGAACGAAATTTGCTTTTTTTTTTTGCCAAGATTTATCTTATAGTTACATGTATTAATGAAAACTTAATTTACTAATTTGAGTAAAAGTAGAAATTGAACCTTTTATGTCACATTTGCCCATGCAAAATGTATTTGGGTCATTTGGATGGGCATGGGCAGCATTCTGATTACTATTTATTATATAAGACTGAGTTCCTAAGGTTCTGTTGGTTTGCAGTTTAAATCTGAGTCAGATATAACTTAATTTTCTAAGTACTCAGTTAAGATATATTTATATCCATTTGTTTGTAACTATAGTTTGCATTCATACCTTATATAAAATTTGCACTTTTGGCTCAGTTTGGAAAGACTATAAAAACTATAAATTTAAATAAAATACAAGGTTTTACTCTATAAATTTGTATTTATATTTCTTCTAAACTGAGCCTTTCTGTCTTAATTGCATTCATTGACAGTTGTACACTTCGTACCACTTTCATTTTATATTGATTTTATATGTGGGTTCAACTATAATATGAATAAGATTTGATATCCGAGAAATGTCCGATGCAGATCATTTAAAATTTATGGATGGGTTTTGATTGATAAAAACTCTTTTCATACCATATTTTTTTTGCATTATAGATTTTCCCTCACATCAGAAGTATGGTTTTAAATGGCATGAGACCACACAAATTATTTTATGTTTTCTTTTTAAAGTTGTAAAATACATTATAGGGACACTTTGATAATTATGAACGAAATAAGAAGAACAAAATCAAGTTATTAGTTTTTATGAAGATTTTAGGATGTATTTCTTTCAAACCAAACACAGCTTGGGAGAATTCAACAAGGGCAAAGAACTTTTTTCATTCTCGTTGGTATGAAAATTCTTTAAAAAGGATTTGCTTATTCCGTTGCCGGGACTCGAAAATGGGTCTTTCGGGTGAGAGCCGAGTATCCTAACCAACTAGACTACAACGGAACTACGTCACAATGTTTCATTTTCTTCTTATGTTAAGTTTGGTTTGAAGAGACAAGTAGAAAATCCTTTACAAGCTTTATATAAATTTCCCTATTTTTTTCCTTCAGAGCAAACATAACTTTAATGTACATTATTGTGTTGATAAGATGTCATCGATGCACCAGATATGTCGCCAATCATTTTCTACGTGAGATTCGCGGTACCCAGCTGTCTTTTTTCCCTTTATCGACTGAGAAAGGAGTGATCCCTTTAGCTCACCCAAGCGGCCCGGCCCAGCCCAGCCAGAAAATTTCTTGGCTTGGGCTGGGTTTTGTTGTGTTCAGGGTCGACCCGGACCCTTGTATTTTAATGGTCAACACTTGACCATACAAAATTACGTGTGATGTGAGAGACGTGAGGTGAGAGAGATTTAGAAACTAGAATGGAAGAAAATAGACAGAGGGGCCGAAACTGGAGAGAACCTCTCGAGAGTTTCTTTTAGGTTAGGGGTCGAAGAAACCGGACCCTTGACACGTGTTGTCTTGCTTCAATACATGACTGGTTTCACAAGTGGATACGGTAACCTTATCTCCAGTAGTTGAAGGCCTCCACGAACTTACCGACACGTGGAGGAAAGAACCGGGTAAACGAAACACCAAGAGAAGCTTCTGGAAAAGACGAAAGAGGACCTTCTTGTGCCTTCTCTTCTGTAATCCTGGTGGTGGGATGTGGGCGCCCCTTTTCCTTCCTTTTCATTCTGCCGCTTATTATCCCTCCCCCTATAATTTAATACACGACGAAGCTTCTAGAAACAACAGAGCTCATCTCCCTCTCCTCTCTCTCTCTTCCCCCTCTCCACCACCCCACCGAAATCCCTTTGTCCGTATTTTTTTTTTCTCTTGGCATTCCTGGTTTCTCCTTTGATCTTAGATTTTTTGTTTTTTTTTTTTTTATAATTTTTCTTTTTTTTTAGACCATGGCTCCACCGCCGGTCGAACAGATGGGTGAATCAACTGCTGGTGATGGGCAGAGGTCTCTGCCGACGCCTTTTCTGACGAAAACATACCAGCTCGTGGATGATCCTTCTATTGACGACGTGATTTCATGGAATGAGGATGGTTCCACTTTCATCGTCTGGCGACCAGCTGAGTTCGCCAGAGATCTGCTACCGAAATATTTCAAGCACAACAATTTTTCAAGCTTCGTTAGACAGCTTAATACATACGTGAGTATCCTTTCTTAGTTTTATTTATAAGAAGAAAGAAAGATTGTAGATTTGATCGCTTTTCGATTTTCGATGTCTAAAAATTTGTTTTTTTCCTTCATTTTCAACGGGTAGGAATATAACCCCTTTGTTTATTAAATTTGTTAACAATGCAGGGCTTCCGAAAGATTGTTCCTGATCGATGGGAATTCGCGAATGACTGTTTCCGCAGAGGAGAAAAAAAGCTTCTCTGCGACATTCACCGCCGTAAAATATCACCGGCCGTCACAGCGGCTGCCGTTACCACAACAGCATTCCCGGTCGTGCGGGCGGGATCCCCGACGAATTCGAGCGACGAGCAAGTCGTCACCTCCACCTCGCCACCTTCGAACGTTCCCGCTACGGCGTGTAGAGCAACAAGCTGCAACAGCGCGGCGGAGCTTCTCGATGAGAACGAACGACTTAGGAAAGAGAATATGCACCTGAAGCACGAACTAACCCAGTTGAAGAACCTTTGCAACAGTATCCTCGTTTTGATGACGAAGTACGCCAATAGTCAGCAAGAAAACTGTAGCTTCTTGGCAGAGAAGCCGCCGCTCGATCTCTTGCCGGTGAAGCGTATTTCGGAAGATTCTGATGCCGACACTTTGGTGGGGCAGAGCCGAGTGAAGACTGAAGAGGAGATCAGTCCACGGTTATTTGGTGTTCCCATCGGCGTTAAAAGAGCAAGAGGATGTGAGGAGGAGGAGGAACAGGAAGAGCAGCAGCAGCAGCAGCAGCAACAGCTGCAGCCACCTGGTCCTGAAGCAGAGCCGTGGGATCAGCAGAAGTCGGAGAATCAGAACCATTCGTGGCTCAAAATCCCAATCTAACCAGAGAGGGTATGCAATTGAAGCTGACCGGTGTAAAGAATCGAGCAATTTCAGTGGAAGAGAGAGAGAAAAGAATGATGACTGGACACGTGTCATGTGCACAAATCACGTGGTTCATCATCCTGCGTCTTCTACTTCAAGTTGTAATCTATCTATTCTAAGTTGTAACCTCGGGGTCAGGGAGTAAAACCTAAAAGAACCCAAGGTAGAAGTAGAATGGATGAATCAAGAAGCTTCTTGTTTTGTTTCTATTTTTTTTCTTTATAAATTATAATATATACTTTGTTCTTTATTGTGGGCCCCCACTCCTTTTGGGCATTGATCCAAATCATCCCTTCGTGGGTTGTTTTGGTTGGGTAATGTAAATGGGAGAAAGCCCAAGAAGAAAAAGGAAACGAAAGGAATTGTATTGGAATGCTCTCGAATCTCGATGGTGGGGACTGGGGGTGATGAATGTATATGATCCTTCGTGGTGAAAGAAACTTCTAGCGCTCTGGATAGGATCTAATGAATATTATCATTCTGTCGTTCCTGTGGCACTAATGGTGCGACATGCATCTGTGTAGCATTTTCTAGACGGATTATTGGAGAGTGGCAGACGGAGAGGTATATATAATATAGATTTATATATAATATATTAAAAGCAAGTTGATCGAGAATAGATGTTGACCTAGATGGAAGTATCAGGAGGGTTTGTCAGGATTCGTGGTGGTCTCACCTCACGGCAAAAGGTGTGATGTGTTGGGCAAGTGGATCCGAATCCGAACTCCCATAAAGTGGGAAAGAAGGGGGCGAATAGGCACACTCGTAGTTTGTTATCGGGTGATTTACCAGAGGCCCGATCTCCTGCCCACTGCTTCCTACCCACGTTCCTGTTCACGCTATAAATTTTGGACACATAACTTTTTGCCATAAATCAAGGACTCCGGGTAGCTCGCCAAATGAACAGATCCAATCCAGTTATTTTATCTGATTCTCGATCAATTATCAGTGCTCTTAACAGAAGAGGAGACATCGCTAGGCACTTTTTGGACTGCTGTCAGAAACTTTTCAACTTATTTTCTTGCTTCAATAGCTTAAAATTTGTAGATATTAATTGTTTATATAATGTTCCTGCACATGAACTTGCAAAATGGTGTAAAAATACAGTGCACGAACATCTCTCTTCCCCATTATCCCTCTTTTCTTCCTCATACTCTTTTGTATCTATTTCTGTTCTCTAATATATTTTGCTTTAACTATCAAAAAAAAAAAAAAATTATGTAATAGGACGGACATTATGTCCATCCCATCGGAACTCACTCATTATTCCAATTAATTTTTTAACCTAAAATTAATTAATGTTTTCCTTTCCCAAGAATCCTAAATAGTCTCGTTTTCTCCGTTCCATTCTCCACAGCTTACTGTTACAGGAAACTTCAACATCGTGCAACCGACAATCTACGACATGTTCACTAGCATCTTATTTTCTCTGTATTCCATCAGCTAACCTTTTATTCTCCATAACGTCTTATTCCAAGAGATTTGATCGATATTTGGCAACCTGCAACCTGTAACCCGCAACTGACAACTAGCAACCAAGGAGATTACTATGCCTAACCAGAAGAAGACATCCTAATTTCTTAGGGGACATTTGGCAAGCTTTTTATGCATGGTCTTTCCATCATGTATCAGGATCTCTCCATGAATGATAACATACAAGGGGAGCATTCTGGGGGGGAAGTAGATTCAGACTCCTTTTAGGCTTTTTAAAGCTTAGAAGTTAAAATTTGGTCTTTTCTATTTGGTCATGAAAGACGGGAACTTGGAAAAGACTACACCCCACAAAGCATCCAGAAGTCCAAAGCAATTAAAAATTTTAAGCTTCCCATCATTCGATCCATGCCTAAAATCTTTCATGCAACAACCCAATAGACCATGGTAGACCAGGATAACGGTGTTGATCTTTAAAGACAATATCCCAAAAGTTGAGTATATCTTTTGGCCATTTGGGCTGTTGGAAGATCTTCCTAAAAAGATTTAGACTTAGACCTCATTTGATGCATTTTTTCGCGTGGGCTGTCAACTGTTTAGAAGCCTATCAGCCTATGTTTTCGTCTTTTCTCATTTGGTTGGGGAAAGATCTATCCATTAAAAGATTGTGATGTAGCACAATCCGATCACTCCTAACTGGCGCTTGCGTGGCTCCTGAGAGGTACCTGAGACGAGAGAGAAAAGGAAGAACTCCCGAGGGGTTTCCCGACGGGAACGCTCCGATGCTTAAGTTAGTATTGTGTGCAAGAAGCTGAAGGAAAACGAAGGCTAAGAGTGCAGGTTGTGCCAGTGATTGAAGATACCTTGTTCCTTGAGAATAAGCCCCTTATAACTGAATTCCGTTGCTTCAGGCCTTCTGACCTCTGACAGGGCAGGTATA